AGTCCAAAGCCTTCATGAACCGGACCTGGGCTCTGCCCTAACTTCCTCTCTGATTATTCTCCCCATTTCCCACTGTGCTCCAGCGGAACAGCCTTCCGGTGGATGCTGGTAAGTGGCAGGGGTGGCTAGGACGCCGGGTGCACCTGACTCCACGCCTCACGCTCTAAATCACCGCGCCGCGTCCCCGGGGCCGGGCCGGCGTCCCGGGACTCACCCCGGAGCCGCAGAAGCGGCCGAGCCTGGGCGCGGTGCTGTCGTAGCCGTCGAAGGCCTCCATGTAGTCGTAGCCGCAGTCGGCCTCCTCCTCGACTTCGAAGCTCCGGAAAATCAACTCCACGCCGTAGCCGTCCTCCGCCACGATGACCCAGTCACAGCGGGCCTGGCTCGGGTAGTTGTTGTCCCCAAACTGGGCGTGGGAATAGAGCTCTTTGGTCTCCACTTCGGCCTTCAGCCTGCCCCCGCACTCTGCAGCGGAGAGAGAACCCGATGCACCCTCCGAGCCCAGGACCCCTGCGCGGCCCCCACCCCCCAGCGCCCGGCTGCGACTGCTCCATCACGCCCTCCCCCTGGTTACGGGGTGCGGGGGAGATGCAAACTGGCCCTCACCAGCCAAGGTCCTACGGTCCCAGGTCGGGCTATAGAAGGCCTCTGGGAATACCTGAGCATACTACTAAAAAAAGAAAAAGAGAGAAAGAGAAAGAGAGAGAGACAGAGACAGAGACAGAGAGAGAAAGAGAGAGAGAGAAAGAGAGAGGGAGAGAAAGAGAAAGAGAGAGAGAGAGTGTGACGGGATCAAAAATAGGAAAGTTGAAACAATTGCTCATTGTAGGCAAAGTGTATATAGGTGTTCAGGGAGGGAGGGAAGAAAGGAAGGAAAGAAGGAAAGAAGGAAGGAGAGAAGGAGAGAAGGAGAGAAGGAGAGAAGGAGAGAAGGAGAGAAAGAGATAAAGAGAGAAAGAGAGAGAAAGAAAAAAAGCTGGCTGCCTGGATCTTTACCACTTACCTCCTGGAAAATGCTAGCAGTGTCTGAGGTCTCACACCAGCCTAATTGACTTACTGTAACTTGTAATTTGTGCCAATAGAGGGCACCAAAAGTACATCAGAACTGCAGGTAAACGCACACCTAGGTATCTCAACACTGACCCGCCTGCTCCTCCAGTTCAGAGTGCTGACTACAGGCCACCTTGGGGCCGCCTTGCGTGTGGCAGGTGAGCTGCACCTTGTACTTTGCATTCTGTAGCCTTGGCGTCTGAGTTTTTTACTAGGACCATAACTCTGGCTGCTCTGGGTCCCATACAATCTTTTGTCAAGGCTGCTGGAGACCACGAAATATAAATGGGTAAATGGAAGTGATCAGAGATTAGAAAGCACTGTCCTCAGTGTGCTCCACGCCCCTGAGAAGCCCAGAGCTCCCCATGGTGTGGCTTCAGTACTGTCCAGTAACACTCCCAGGCCCAGCTGGCCCCAGTCCTATCCGACTGCCAACTCTTAGCCCCACGTGTCTATCTTTAGGAAATTTCAAGTTCCAGACATACAGGTGGCAAGGAAATGGGCATAAAGCAGGGCAGGATGCCTTCTATCCATCCTGCCAAATCCTATCTCCAATTTCCCCCCACCTGCTCTGGGCCCCAAAAAGCTGACCTCTAGGTCGACAAGGATAGGCCCCTTTGCTCTCTGCCTTCCAGTTGGGTTCAGCTGTGGGAGCACCAGCAGATCAGAGCTGGGAGGAGAGAGAGAGGTCAGCGTATTTAGTCCCAGGCCTGCACTCTGCCTGGTCACCAAGGCTGTTTTTTTTTTCACCTGAAGGTAACAGCTCCCGAGCAGGGGCCTTCTTCCTGCCCCCACCTGTCTCCACGCTCCAGGAACTGCTTCCTCATCTGGGCCTGGAGTAGTGACAGCCCCACAGTTCCCAGTCCTGGATGCTGCACTGTCCCTTGTGGTGTCCTCACACCCTGCCCACCCCTTTGTAAACAATCCCTTATTAATGACTCCATCTGAATAGACTCTCATTTCCTGCTGGGACCCTGACCCACCTCAAGCACCTAAGCTCTGTAAGGACAAGAGAGTGAAGTCACTAGTCAATGGCTTTTAAACTTCCCTCTGGGAAGCTAGAACCCCTTAAAGAGGTAGACAATGAATGAAATGTTTTCTGATAGGCAAGGACAGCTAAACCACCTAAGGGCTCAGGTTGTCATGTAGGTTTACCTGATTCACATTTCTGACTCTAAAAAAAAAAAAAAAAAACTGGAGAGAGGGGCTGTTAAGGGGATCAGAACACCTCATAGGGTCCCCTGATCTTGATCTCAGAGTGGGCTCAAGGCAGCCACTGCTTTGCCAAAGGGCCACAATCTAATGCCAGGATCAGAGTCGAAGTTGCTTCTATGGGTTCCAGCTGGTAACATTTGAATAGCTACAAAGCAGACAATTTTCTTATTGACATTCTTCTATTGAACAAAGCAGATATGTCAGTTATACACATATACCATTTCCTCCAAAGGACCAAATCAAGCTATTTACATTTGAAGTGGACGAAAAATAAGGAGGAGCAGAAACATTTTTCATTTTCCAAACTGGTCCTTAGGAAGGGCTGCTCTCCACCACTCAGTTCCCAGAGTTTTGGATTTCACAGATCAGTAAAATCACAAATAAATTTTTAAAAAAGAAGACGGGAGGAAGGAAGGAGTGGAACAAATAAATGTGGCACCCACAAAGGACATTAAAAGAAAACAACCCTTCCTCTATTGTGGCCCATGTTTCGTTTTTAAAGGGACAAGTCACACACACCTCCCTTCTCCCATAGTCGGAGTAAAAGGCAGTCCTTCCCTGGCCTTTGTCACCTATCTATCTGCAGTCAACGAGGCTGGGTGACCTGCCCGCATACCTGTGCTGTGCACCGCCTGGAAGCCCTTCCTCTGCACAGAGGCATCCGAATAAAACCTGAGAAACAATCTGCTGCCTGAAGCCACCACGGGGTCTGGGATGTTGCTGCCGCAGAAACGGCCAAGGATGGGGGCCAGGCTGTCGGGCCCATCGTACACTTCCAGGTGGTCGTAGGCACATTCCTGGTGCTGTTCGATCTCAAACTCATTAAATGTCTGGGGATAGAAGAGCAGAAAGTGAGGCAAGGGCCTGGCATTCAGCCAGGGTGGGGGCCACCTCCCCAGGGGTGGGTGAGGACTGGGCAAGGCAGGACATGCGTCTGCCCAGCCGGCCGTACAGGAGGCGTGGAGCCCATGGTGATCATGGTGACACCTAGACTTCACCCCTCTTTCAGTCCCCAAAACTACCCTAGGAGGTAATTACATGAGTTGTCGCTATTCTGAGCACTTTGCAGATGGCATGGCCAGGTTCAGATTGTTTAAATGCTTGTTGACGTCTGTGCTCTGTCCACCACACCACACAGCTTCTCCCTCACTTAATGATAAGAGCAGCAACCACCAAGTGCTCACTCAGGGCCAAGAGCTGTTTTAAGTGCTTTACAAGTATTAATCCTCACGGGCCCTGTGATGTGTCTACCATTTTAATCCTTCCTTTACAGATGAGGAAACTCGAGGCGAAGAGTCGTCAGATGACCTGCTGGACCATGACCAGGAGGTCTGGCTCCAGAGCCCATGCCCTTGACCTCTGCACTAAACTGTACAATCCTTCAGAACAAATAATGCGAATGAACAAGGCTTTACAACCTGCACGCTGCTCCACGTTGTCATCCTCATAGTGGCTGACATTAGCTGGATGTTTTTTCCATGCAGGGCCCTGCAGTTTCTCACTTATCCAATGATGCTGTGAGAGAAGAGCTATTATCCCCAGTGTGCAGAAGGGGAAACTGAGTCTTAGAGAAGTGACTCGGGTAGAGGAAGATGGAGCTAGACTTGGTCTGCAACCAGCCTGACTCCAGGCCACGCTCCTAACCATCACCGGGCTATACTGCCTTCCTTCTCCGTCTCCCCTTATGACTGTCCCCTGAAGCCCCTGCAGTTTCTCACTTATCCAATGATGCTGTGAGGGAAGAGCTATTATCCCCAGTGTGCAGAAGGGGATGAGTCTTAGAGAAGTGACTTGGGTAGAGGAAGATGGAGCTAGACTTGATCTGCAACCAGCCTGACTCCAGGCCATGCTCCTAACCATCACCGGGCTATACTGCTTTCCTTCTCCCTGTCTCCCCTTATGACTGTCCCCTGAAGGTGGCCAGGGCAGCCTCTGGCCATACACCAGGCTTTGCAGCTCCAAATGTAGGGCTTCTCAGGCACTGGCAGTGACTGACTGATGGCTTGCCCATAGCGGCGAGAAAGATGGGACAAGGTAAGAGGGAACAGTGTTTAGTAAAGATTTGGATCAAATGGCAGAGTAGGGGGAGAAGACATTAGTTGGGGAGAGGGGTCTCAATTTACAAGAAGAGGACTGGGGTGACGGGGGAGGGATGAGGTGGAGAGCGGCCATTAGCAGTGTGGGCTTTCGTGGGAATGACAAACACACCTGAAATGGGCAAAGCTCTTCACATCTTATAGAAAGGGAGTTGGGGGCCAGAGAGTGGGGTAGGGACGGTGAGCAAGAGCAGGACGGGGAGACCAGTAGCACCAGGGCGGGTGACGCACTGGAAGGGAGACAGTGAACCAGGGAGGCAGGGAGCTCCCCAAAGGTCCATGGGACACCCTGTTGCTGGCCCCGTGCAGTGTAACACCAGCACTTGGAAGTATTCAATTTACATTCTATGATAGCAAAAAAATAGAGCAAGATCACTATATCCACCATCCACTTCCCAAGGAAGAGTTTTTTTAAATCTACCATATATATTTACGAACCACAGATATATCTGAAGTCTAGCCCAACTGTGGCCACTGGGATCGGGTGCTTCAGTTCCTTAATACTGTAAAGAACAGGAAAAGACGTTCTAGGCAACTACTAAAATCTTGGGGCCCTTGCACAAGAGGCGCCGCTTCCAGTTGTGCAGGTTGCGCGTTCCCAGCACCAGGGGGCGCCATTGCCCCGCGGTTGTCAGAGACGGCGCAATGTTGCCATTGCGCAAATTTTCCAGCAGATGGCAGTCTTGGTGAAGGAGTGCCTTTCTCTAAAGCGCTCTCTTTAGTTCACCCTCGCCCAAATTCAAAGCTGTTCTGACCCCCCCAGGAAAGGAGCACCCCACAGCATTTCTAACACGGGCAGCCATACATATGAGGTGCCCACTGGAAGTACCTTGTGGTCAGGGGCTCTGCCTTCTCCACCCCTCGATGCCCCAGGCCTGGCACAGAGAGGTGCGAGCACCCAACACTCTAGCCTGGGAGCCCGTTCACTCGCCTGTCCTCACTGCTCCCGCCAGTCAACACCCTCGCAAGCCCAGGGGCCATCGTCTATTTATCATCACGTTCTCCTTTGTTGCCTTCCATTCTCCCTGTATTACTGTCCATAATTCAGAGGGACAGTCATATGCCTTCTGAAGAGCTTACTTGTCTCCAGTCTGAGTAACCCGTCTAAAAACTGTTCGTTTATCTCGAGTACAGCAATTTTTCCAACTGGCAAGAGGGTTTGTTTTACACTCCAGGATCTGGGAGTCTCTGAGGAATGAAAGGAGACTTGTAGGAAAGACTCATTTCTCTTTGAAATAACAGCATGGTGTATAGACTTGGAAGATATATATATTTTAATTCGAGAGAATTGGCATAAATAACCATTTGCTGTTGTTAATTGAAAAAACATGTAAGTTGTAGAAGAATATGAATAATAAGAGCCCAATTAAGAAGTTTGGGCAAGAAAAAGGATATATATTTTTTTTCTGTGAATGTACTTACATGATTGTATGTGCATAGGAAATTTCTGGAAGAAATCACAAGAAAATGTTCAAAGAGGCCATTTCCAGAGTGGCATAAGAGATCTGAAAATTTGTATGTCACTTTCCAACCCTCTGCATTGATTGCATTTTTAACTTTGAGAATATATTGTTTTATAAAAAATTAAGACAGGAAACAATTAAATCTCAAACAGCACTGTGTGCCGCGTGCCACCTCACATTGTACCACTGTAAGTGGGTGCTATTTAGAGCTTTTCTCACCCACCACCCTGTGCTGAGGGCTTCCCGTGTAGCCTCCCTTTTAATCTGCGCAACAGCTCCATGAGGTAGCACCCTCATTTTTCAGACCATGAAACTGAGTCCTGGAAATGTTGAGTACCCCAGCTTCAGAGCGAGGAGTGGCAGAGCAGAGACTCAGACCCGTATCTGTCTGACACCAAGGTCCCTGTTGTCCATAAACTATGAACATGACTCACGAGTTTCACCCTGTGGCCTGCAGTTGAAGAGATGTTCCAGGTGCACTCTCTCCGGCTGGGGTATTTGTCAGGCCAGTTGGGGCTCGCCAGAGTCCCCTCTGCATTGCTGATCTTGTGCGCACAGCCAGCTGGGGGTGATGGGAGACACAGGCAGAGAGAGAGGTAATTCACTTGTGGGCCTCCTAGGAGGCTTTCTAAGAGAGTCTCCTCCCCTCGCTCTTATTTGTCACATGGTCATTAGCAAATGTTGATTTAGGGGTCAGCCTGAATCAAATGTCATCTAGCTCAGAGATGTGCTGATTTATTTGGCTGCTGCCTTCCTGGCGGTGGCTCTGGAGCCAGGTCATCTTTCTTACTGTGACTATTCACATCGTGGTTATCACTGGGAATATGGCAGAATTCGTGCTTGGGAGCACAGGCACTGGGGTCAGTCAGATGGACCGTGGCTCAAGTCTTGGTTCCGCCACCTTCGAGCAGTGGGACGTTGGGCACTTACATAAGTCTTGATGTCCATAATTGTAAAGGGTTACCCACCTCATAGGGGGCGAATGTGGATTAAATGAGATCATACATGTGAGAGGCTTAGCAAGTGCAGGCAAGGATCTTCAACACTAAGCCTTCGTCTACATACTTCTTGTAGTTTTTCCAAGCAGTTTCATTTGGAGGCTACAGATGTTGCCCTGGTGACAGTGTTATTAGTGAAGAGTGGCCCCTGACTTGCTCGTTGAGTAGCATTTTGGCCAATCATTAGAATTTGTCTTCCTCTGCGTTGGGCACTGTGCCAAGCATTTTGAATGCATCGTCTTGTTTTATCCTTCCCACTTTCCAAATGAGAAAATAAGTTTAGAGTGGGTAAGTGACTTGCTGGTAAGGGGTGGAGTCGGGACTCAAACCTGGGTCTGCTTTCACCATACTGACGGGGAAAGAGAGGGAGTTGAGGAGGTGGACCTTGTACCACCGTGGATTCAGGCCGAGGGAGCTGGAGGGGGCAGACGAAGAGGGAGGGTGAAGTGCTTGCTTCAGAGAGGTTTCTGCTGCTCTTTGCTGCCTCCGCTTTGCAGCTACACAGAGGACAGGTGACAACGGGGGCCGGGATCAGCACCTAGGGCATTTATTCCTGCACCCCTGTCCCCCGGGGAAACCCATAGGAAGGCAGCCACCGTTCAGCTGGTGGGATCTTAGTGGAGCGTGTCTTCTTCCTGGCCTCCCCCACACCAAAGGAGGCCAGCTTTGTTTTGGCTCCAGCCCCGCTCATGGGGACTTGACAACAATTTTTTGAATTCCAGAATTGCAGTTCCATCCAAGTTATTCCAACCCGCCTCCCAACTCAACCCATGACCACCCTCGTCTGTGTCACAGGGCCGGGCTTGGAGGAGAAGCAGCATCTGCTTTTAAAGATGTCTTAGCTCTTCCTGAAATATTCCAGGAAGGCCCTGAGCAGACTCTGTGCACCCCAGCCAAATCTCCTAACTCCGAAATGTTTAACCCTCACCTACTTGGCTCTGTGGTTGGGGCCAAGGCCTGGAGGCCTGTGGGTGTATCAGAAAGGTTCAAACTCCCTTTGCAGGGTGGGGTGAGAACAGAGGAAGCCCTTTCCCACAATGACTGGACATTCAAAGCCATTTGGCTTTGAAGAACTCCCAATCGTAAATAGAGCAGGAAGCAAAGTCTTCCCAATTCTATTTTATTATTAGAACTGCACATACGGTAACTAATATGATGACATAGATAGCTGGTATTTATTAACATTTCAAGTGCTTAATATGTGTCAGACTGTCTGAAATACTTTCTAGGTATTCTCTCATTTAATCCTCAGAAAAACTTTAAGAGGGGGGTATGCTTAGATCTTTATAAACAGAAAAGGAAATTGAGGCTCAGAGAGGTTAAGTAACAATTCCAAAGTCACACAGCTAGTAAGTAGCAGAGCTAGGATTTAAATCTAGGTAGTTTGATTCTGGAGCATGGGAGCTTAACCACTGCAGTGCCTCCAGGAGAGCACCTGAGGGCCTGTACGCACCCTGGGTAAAATCGCACTTCAGGGAGGGCAGGATGAGGGAAGGAAGATGCCCAGTCTCGGGGGCTCAGGAGGTGGCAAGTGGGGAGGAAGGGTCCCTCACTCTCACTCTGACACACCAGCCAAGTTAGCCCGAACCTCCAGCCTCAGCCCAGCCTCACCTTCTTTACAATCGTGTCCATTCTCATGGAGCTGGTAGCCATTCCTGCACCGGCACAGGTAGCTCCCAAACGTGTTGACACACTCATGCTGGCACCCGCCGTTGTCCTTGGCACACTCGTCCTTGTCTGGGGAGATCAACAGACTCTTCTTAGGGGAACCGCCGACTTGGGATGATCCCTCTTGACTCAGAACCCTGACGAAAAGTACCCTCCACTAGGGAGCCTCCCTTCACTGGGCATGGGGGAAGGCAGCTTTTGTTGTAGATTACGTGGCCCTGGTATATATCAAACTCCCCATGCTCCTAAAGCACTTTAATGTACATATATGTTCCCCACCCCCGATCCCCGCCAGAAACAGAGCTCCTTAAAGGAGAGGCTAATAATAGTAACGATAATAAAAATAACCACCACGTATTGTGTATTTACTACGCAATGGGCACCGCCCCAAGCACTTTCTGTACCTTATTGAAGTTAATTCTTACACACCGTTAGGAGATGGGTTCCTGTGCCTCCATTTTACAGGTAAGGAAACTTGAGGCTGAGAATGCTAATCTGCCCAAGGTCACTCAGTGAGCAAGCCCCAGAGGTCAGGGCCCCAAGCCACCTCCTGCCTAAGAATGGGTAAGTGAATGACAGCCTACTCCACAACTGCCAGCCATTGTGACCTTGGGCAGTCCTTGACCTCGACCTCGACCTCAGTGCCTCAGTTGCCTCACCTCTAAAGTAGAGTCAATAACAGTATCCTCACCTCGAAGGGTTGCCGAGAGGACGGAATGAATCAGTACGGGGAAAGCCTCTAGAACAGTGTCCACCTCGGAGTAAGCGTTAGCTTTTATTTATCATTATGTATGAACTCAAGTGTCAGCTGGCGTTACCGTTATGGTGCTTGTAGAACAAGCCAGGGCAGTACGCGTCCCTCTCCTAAGCCAACTTCTTCCTGTAATAGCGGGAGGACCCGCCTCCGTCCTGACTCCCCACCGGGGTAGCTTCAGGGGTCTAGGTGTCTTCCTCCTCTGTATCCTATGCCCACGGCGGCTAATGTGCCACTGGACACTTTGTATTTTAGTTTCACCCTCTTATTTCATGAGGAAGACTAAGAATCCTTGGAGAACACCTAAAGAATTAAGAGATGAAGCCCACCCAACCCCGAAGCACTGAAACCACAGGCTAGGAAGAGACATGGAAGGGACCTTCCCAGAGCCTTTAGAGTACACAGTCCTGCTGACACCCTGACGTCAGACATCTGGCCTCCAGAACTGGGAGAGAACACAATTCTGTTGCTCTGAGGCCCCCAGTTGGTGGTAATTTGTTAGGGAAATACCATAAGGTCAGGGCAGGTGGCAGAGAGGGGTGGGCAGGTGCTCCAGAGGCTCGGAGCCCGCAAAGCCGTGTTGCCCTCAGCGCTGTGGCCTCGCCGGAAACCTGCGCACCTGAGAAGAAGTGGGCCCGGAAGCCACGTTTGGAGACCGTGTTGTCTGACTTGAACTCCACGCGCATGTTGTTGCTCTGCGAGGTGATGACCTCGGGCGTCTCGGAGCCGCAGAACCTGCCGTGCAGCCTGGCGTCGGGCGACAGGCCGCTGCGCACCTCCAGGAAGTCGTACTTACAGACCTGCAAGGGAGCACCACCGGGAGCTGCCTGGAGTCCCCGCATCGCCACCCCTGCCCCTGTGCACTGCGGGACCCCTTCCTGAGAGCTAAACCCTGCCAGGTGGCCAGATGGGCTCAGCCAGGTCCAGCGGGGTGGGTCGCCTTGACTCCTACCAGGGCCCCTGCAGGTAGAGAGGCCGACATGCCACCTTCCCACCCACGCTCTGCGGCAGGGTTCTGCCTGGGCCTGGGCTGACTTGCTCACCCTGTGACCACTGCCCAAGGGATGCTTATACCATCCTGGTCCCCAGCTGCACCTTGCCCTCTCCATTCCCCTCAGGTGGATACTAACCCCCAGATTCCTCACCCAGGGGACGTTCCTGTCCAGACCACCTCCGGCCCCCAAGACCCGCCTTCTCCACTCTTGTCCGGATTCTCCTTGGATTTAGCAGTGACAAGAGGACCCAAGCACTCTACCTGCGGAGGATGTGCAGCTAAAAACCACTGCGGCAAACATCCCTCAGTTCCCTCCCAGCTAAGATGTCATGATCCGAGGACGCCACCTCCCTGCCTGCTGACCCCTCGCCCAATCCAGAGCCACATCCTAACACAATCCCCAATCAAGAGTGCAAAACCTACATCATTGCCTTCCAGTTCAAACACTTCAAACTGAAGGGAGATCCGGTACTGAGTGGGAGCCACCACCTGCCAGACACAGTTTTTGTTGGTAGGGTACTCCTTCGGCCACCCAGGGCTGCTGATGGTTCCGTTCAGCTTGGTAATGAAACCGCCACAGGCCACTGCACGGGGAAACAGAAGTGAGGTTCATTTGGTGTTCGTTCCGAGTGACTGCGATTTTCCCCCAGCGGCAATAAGCCCTGCTGTTCTTTAATAATAATAAAAAAAGTTAGACAACCTGAACTGATTAATTCAACGTCCTTTCTTCTAGCCTGTTTCAACGGAAGATTTGGAGGGACAAAGTTGAAGATAGGTCATGACTGCTTTCAAAGATGACGATGATGCATTTGTACTGACCTGTCACCCAGTTGGCATAGCCCGAAGAAGAATCAGAAATGTTTGCACCAAGCTATGCAATGTACCTGGTTTACATAACAAATGGAGTCACACAGGTGGATAAGGAAGGGAAACACTAGCCAGGTAGAAATGAAGTGAATGAAATGGTTATTAGTTGAGTCATACCAAAGTGCTCGTGGTTTTTCTTTGCTTTTATTTCCTACATTAATAATCATGTGAATTTTCACAGTTACAGAAGAAAATAATCCACGGTTCTAGTTTCACTTTCTAGGGTGGAGTCCATGTAATGTGGGCAGTCCTTTCACATTTGTGAATTTATAGAGTTGTTTCTCCCTCTGATCATCCACTGCAGCTGTCTGTTGTTACTTCACAACTAACTAGCACCCCATCTCTGCCCCACGTCCCCTAAGGCTCGTCCCCCATCCCCTCCGATTCCAACATGGCGTGTCCAACACCAACCTTCACACGTCTTCTTATTGGCGGCCAGCTCATAGCCAGGATTACACGCGCACTTGTAGCTACCCAGAGTGTTCATGCAGCGCTGCTCACACCCACCATGATCTGGCCAGGAACACTCATCCACCTCTGTTGGGGAAAAGGTGACCTCCGTTAAATCATCACAAAGCTGCCTAGTCCATTCCCCAACACAGTCACAGTCCACATCCCGGAGTCGCCAGCAAGTGTCCTCCAAGAACAAGAATGGCTCCTGGGGACCACCTCCCAAGGAGTCCCATGTCCCCCTCCCAAGGAGTTCTATGTCCACATCTCAGAACCCGGCAGCAGCTACAGTAAAGGGTGGGATCTTGAGAACACAACAAGAGTGACTTGCTAGCCAGAGCGGGGCTCCGCTGAAGAGAGATCAGGCCTGAACAATTTCATTCTTGGAAGGGTTCGGTTAGCTGTATTCCTTTGTGATTTTAAAAAAGCTCAAGGTTTCCACACCAAAGACTGAACCAATTTCAGTGCCATAAAATTGCCTCCAATTTCAGTGCCATAATTGCCTCCAATACCCCCAAATACGGAACTTCTCAAGGATATTAAATAAAGGGCAAGGACAAAGGGACAAATTCATAGATGAAGATGCGTAAGTATTCCCTAGAGAGAGAACAAGAACCTGTGACTTAGCATTCTTATAAATAATCTGAAGAGGTACGCACAGAGAGATCTTCAAGATTAGAGAAATCACTGGACTTTCAGGTTAGCCAATGCTCAGGAGAAAATGCAGGAAGAGGCCATGGGGAGACTGAGTCATCAGGGGAGCCGGATGGGATTCAGCACCAATTGTGTCTAGTGATGTGTTTGGGGGCAATTAATAACAGCAAGTGGGACACCAGGAGCACTGTCCAGAAAAAGAACAAGGGATCATTGGAGAATCTTCCTGGACAAGTCAACCCAGGCACTACTGAAGAAAAATTTTAAAAAAATTATTTTTTCAGGCATTGGGCATCTCCAAGTAGTATATCAGAAATGAAAGGGAAAAAAATCATTATTTTCTGTTATCAAACTGTGATACATCTATCCTTAAAAGACACCATGCAAGTTGTGGCCTAACTGAGTTGGAGAGACTAGTGAAGGGACATCTGAACACTGAGACATCTTTAAAAAAAAAAAAAAGTCCAATCTAGGGAGAAGGAAGAGTTGGGGCAGGGGGAAGAAAATATCGATGGTTCTTAACACCACGAAAGGTACAAATAGAGCAAGCACCGAGTTGTCCACAGAATCCTGAAAGACCATATTGCACATAAAATAAATCAGGCCATCTTCGACTTCATTGGTAAAGCCTTGAAAAGATCTCCAGTCCTTCCTTCTAAGCAAGGACCCTTTAAATAACACTTCTGATAGATGGCTTTTCAGACTCGGCATGAAAACACCCAGAAAGAGGGCTCTCACTGCTTTTCCAAGGTATTTCTTGTCCTTTGCAATTTGAATTGTCAAAATTCTGACTCCTTGCAACTTCCAACCCGTTGGTCCTCCAGAAAACCCAAACCCTTCAATCAGAATGTCTCCCTCCACTCTTGCCCTTTTGCAGCTCAAATAAACCCATTTCTTTCCAATCTTCCTTCTTTAAGATGCACAACCTACTCATCAACCATACTGCTCTTCACTGGGTAAAGGACAGTTTGCAAATATCCCATCATTTCATGTAATGGATAGTAACCACAGCTAACTCTAAGACTGCTGTGATCTTGGACTCAACAAAAGCTTGAATAAGTTGGGCAACAGGGGAGACTGGGTTGGGGACACATGCTCTACGCAGGGGTCGAAGTTGTCCATAGCCTCAAATCGATGTATTAATTATGGTTAAATGTATTAAGTATTGTATAGTCACAATCCTTCAATTATTTATCACTTTTCAGTATGCAAAGTACTTTCTTCAACATTTACTAGAAAGTCTAAGAGGAGAATAAATGATGAGGAGAAATGGAGAGAGTCCAGGCTTTAGAGTGAGCCAGACACACCTGGGTCGGATCCACCAGTGGATCTTCCCACAACAAATCAGGTGATTCAACCTCTCTGAGCCTTCCTCCTGTTTTAAAATGAGAATAAGGATATGGTTCCATAGTGTAGCAGTTTACGCGTAGAAGGTCCTGGGTTTGCGCCCCAGTGGAGCCATAGTCCATGGCTTATAGCCATGCCACCCTGAACAAGTCCGATATCTGATCTCGGAAGCTAAGCAGGGTCGGGCCTATTTAGTACTTGGATGGGAGATCACCTAGGAAGACCAAGTGCTGTAGGCATAAATAATAATAAAAAATAAAATAAATAAAATGAGAATAATAATAATCTGCTTTTAGGATTGTGGTGATTGAAAATGATGTGTGTGAAGTACCATATAGATATATAGTCAGTACAGAGTGACTATCACTATAGACAACAGGGGGGTTGAAATTTCTATGGGCGGAGACACACAACAATGAGGATAGTGAAAAGAATCAGGTTATCTGGGCATACCTGAATCAGGTGAGAGTGGAGTAGCGCAGGCCTGAGGAGGGGAGGGAGACAAGGAAGGAACAGATGAAGGAAAATGCATCAAAGATGGACCCATAAAGACTAAATGGGCAGGAGGGCAGCACAGCAGAGCCAAGAAACTGGCTGGTGGGCACAGCGGGGAGGGCAGAAAGGAACTAGGGGAAAGCCTATCAAAACAGACTAAGATGAATGAAGGACCACAATGGGGGTGGGGTGGGAGGAGACTCTGATGCCAGAAGATGCTATGATTATGGGCAGGACACACATATATCACAGGCAAGAAAGGAAGGACCACAGATGAATAAGTCTCCTGATGCCGTCTTAGCCAGGTAGGAGGGAGGGAGGCTGGTAGAATAGATTTGAGCCTAAAGCAAAGAGAATACAGTTCCCTCAGAGACTAAAAGGATAGGGCGTTTGGCCCAGGAAGGTAAGTGAAAGATGTATCTACACCTGAGCTCTCTTCAGCAAAAGCAGCGGCCTGTTTGGCCATTTCCAATGCTGCTCCAGCTGGGATGGATGGCGTGCTTTCAGTGGGAGCCTGAATGTCCTCCGCATCACCTCCACACTGCAGTGAAGTAGCAACGGCTCCAAGCCCATGAGTGCATGCTTGCTCTGGGCTACAGTGGCCAAAGCTAAGCCTGCCAAAAAACCTGGGAGAGAATGGGGGGTGGGAGAGGTAGCTGAAACTTTGCCTTCTCCAAGTGGTATTAGTGAAAGAACAAACCATTCTGCGGTTAGTTAATGAGATGACTCAGGTAAGGTCCCAAAAATTGTTTCAAAGAGGGTTAAGGAAAGAGAAGGCAGGGCCCATCCCTGAGGTTCTGAAGTACCTTGAAAGATGCCACTCTTCCTCATTAAACATCCATGGTGGTCCATCGGCAATGGGACAGTGGAGAGTGGGGGTCAAGATGGAAATCCTCATATACTTTTGTGGAAAGCGTGTGACCAACATGGCCCTACCAACCCTCAAATGCTCCCAATATCGAAAATATCCAGAGATGTGAGGCGCTCTGCGGGCTCTTCAGCCAGCAGCCCCTGCGAGGGATTGCCATCTGGCACCGGGAGAGGAATACAGAGGCCAGTTGGCACCCTGGTCAGTGCCTTGCGCCAGCTGGACCCTGAGCAGAACCTCTTGCCAACTGGCAGCAAGGCAAGAGCTTCTTTGACTCGGTCCAATTCTTCTTCGTGGCCTTTGTAGTTGCTCTTCTAGTTTCTTTCACTGGAGAAGTCCTGACACACGCAGTGGGCACTGTGTGTGTTCACAGGACATCCTACTTATGGCTTCTTGGATAAAGACTGGGCAAAGAAGCTGACTGTGCACAGTCTCTAAACCTGCGCTGACTGACATGGTAGGTGCCAGCCCTGTATGATTGTCTAACATTTGAAATGCAGCTAGTCTAAACAACGGTGTGCTATGAGTATAAAACACACTGGATTTCCAAGACTTAGTATGAAAAAACTCCATAAAATAGGTCATTAATATTGTACATATTAATTATATATTAAAATGACAGTATTTTTGATACATTGGGTTAAATATATCATTAAAATTAATTTGACCTGGTATTGTTTTGAGGTTTTGGAAGGGTGGGGGCTGGTTAACGTGGCTGATAGAACGTTTAAAATTATACATATGGCTCACATTTGTGACTCGCTTCCTATTTCTGTTGGACAACTCAGCTCTAGACTGTGGTCTCTGCTTTATTTATCATCATGGGAACCCCAAAATGTAGGCAGAGCAGGTAGCAGGATGCCCAATCCACAAATGAGGAATCTGAGCCTCATCCATTCATTCATCCATACATTCATTGCCTAGCAAGTGTTTATTGAGCCCACTGCAGGCCAGGCACTGGGAACAGAGTGAAGAACAAAGCAGGTATAATCCAGTCTCAGAAATAAGAACTGGTCTATGGTCATGCTACCCTGAACAAGCCCAATCCCATCTGATCTCGGAAGCAAAGCAAGGTCTGGCCTGGTTAGTACATGGATGAGAGACCACCTAGCAAGACCAGGTCCTATAGGCATAAAAAATTTCAAAAAAAACAAGGGATTGTAAGCTGACAAGGTCCTTGCAATCTATAGGTCAACCAAGGGTTGCCTCACTTAAAAAAAAAAGAAAAGAAAGAAGAATTGGCCGCCTGAGAATCAACAGCTAGTTAGAAATGTGGGCAGGACTAGAACCTGAACTTCCAATGCTAAATCCAGGCCCTTTTCTCTATGCTCTCATGGTATCAAGGAGGCAGAAAGGTGACAAAGTATCAGAATCAAATCACAAACATGAATGAAAAATTAAAATTCCTTCACTGTACTAGCCTATGGCTTTTAGGTCTCCGTCATGGATAGGGAGTGCCCTGTTGGAGTCCTACAAATCCAGGGTGTAGCTCTAGCTCTGCCACCTTAGAACTTCAGTTTCGTTTCCTCAGTTTGAACATGGGGGTAATAATAATGCCTACCAAGGGGATGCTCTGAAGATAAAGTCAGAGAACTAATGGAGTTTCTAGCAGACTCACGAGATGTCTTTTCTTCACCCTTTGTAAGTCCCAATGAGGTTTCTACTAGTCCAGTTTCCTCTTTTAAGATTCAGGGTCAAGGTCATCCAACTTGACAAAAAAAAGATGTCAAGCTGCCCCACCCCATATTCAATTAACACCTTTATGGGCATTTAAACGGATTGTTTGCAAATTGAAATGCCCTTGAAGTAGCAGGCTGGGTAACCTGACCCCACCCCACTGGCTGAGTCTGAAGGTCTCCTGGCTTCCTCCCAGGTCCACACCTCCAGCAATATCATCCACAGGTCTCCTTCACCGCCTTGAGCTCCTGAAAACAATGACTGTGTTTTCCTTTGTGTCCACAGCCCCCAGCACAGCACCTGACACATGTTTGATGACTGCTGAATGAGTGTTAAATGGGGAGGAGGGAGAAGATGAGATCTAACCAGCCAAGGGAGATGGTTATCATGTTACTGAGAGTCTGCCATGGCTTTCAACTCAGTCCTTACAAACCATCTTAGCATCATAGAGAGAAATACTCCTTTCCATTACCCCGACATCTCCAGTAGGGTTGCCACAAAATGCAGAAAGCTCAATTAAATTTGAATCTAAGATGAATGACCAATCATTTCCTAGCATGGTATGTAATATTTGGGACATGCTTATACTGAAAAATCATTCTTCACTTGAAATTCAAATTTAACTGGGCAAACTGTTTTTGTTTTTGTTTTTTCTAAATCTGGCAACACTAATCTCCAGCTTTAGCTGGTCCTCTCAAATATGTGTATCGCTAATTATCAGCAGAACTAGGTATGAGGTATGGGTGGATGGGTGCCACCTGGTTACCAGTTATCTCACTGGAAAGAAGTCCCAATACCTAATAGATAGACCTGGGAGTAGAAGTCAGGGAAGAAAACAAACAGGAGAATTAGAATAAAACCTCATAATCATTTGGGACCTGTGGTAAACAAAATAAGGCCTCCCAAAGCTGCCTATGATGTAGTCCCTGAAACCAGTGAGTCTTTACCTGACATGGCAAAAAGGACTTGGCAGATGTGATGAAATCAAAGATCTTGAAATGGGAGATTGTCATGGGTTGTCTAGGTGGGCGCAGTGTAACTACAGGGGTCCTTACAACTGAAAGAGGGAGGAGGAGTTTCGTCAGAACAAGGAATGTGGCGATGGGAGCAGGAGTCAGTGACACAGCTTGCGAAAGACTCAACTGCCTATCACGCTGGCTTGAAGATGGAAGGGCACCATGAGCCTCCGCTAGGGGCCTCCTCTAGAAGCTGGAAATGGCAAGAAAATCTGACCTCCAGAAACATAAGATAATAAATTTGTGTTGTTTTAAGCCACCAAGTTTGCGGTAATTTGTTACAGCGGCAACAAGAAACTGATACATGGCAACAGATTTAAGCCACCAAGTTTGTGGTAATTTGTTACAGTGGCAAGAAGAAACTGATACATGGCAACAGAAAGGAGAAATTGTCATGTCATTTTTTTCCGGAGAGAAAAATAACCATCTCAAAGACGCCTTTCTAAGCAAAGAAAATTAATGGGACTAAACGTTATACCATGTGTATTCACTTATGCTATTTCATTTTTTCCTGACAACTCTGCAATAACCTGGTAGTTACTATTTCTGTAAGTGGAAGGACTGGGGCTCAGAGAGGTTCTGTAACTTGCCCAAGGCCCAGACAGTGTTGCTGCTGCTAAGTCACATCCGGTCTGGGCCAGGGCAGAGCAGGGGCTGTGAACTTCCAGGCATCTCAACCAAGACTGTCATGTCCTTCCTGCTACTAGTTGACCTACGTTTGAAATACACTTACTGTAGCCTGGCTTTTTGGCTTGAGAAAGAAGTAAGTTTTGTCACCAGAGAATTATAATTGTTATTCAGAGAATTATAATTGTTATTCCTACTTGGATTCAGAGAATTATAATTGTTATTCCTACTTGGGTTCTGCTCTCCTCAGATGCCTCAAGAGAGAAAAAAAGAATAATCTCCCATGCTTGTGTGGCACATTTCGGCTTATAAAGTGTCTCCACAGCCATCATATCATTGGGGCTTCAAAACTGGTTAGGTAAAATGGGCAGATTTACTCCCCCATCCCCTCCATTTTATAGAAAGGAAAGCTGAGGCTTCAATAAGGACAAATGCCTGCCTGCTCAGGGTCACACGGATGCAAGTGGGTTCTTCTGACACCCTCCTGCTCATGAAGAACCTGAGGAAAGGGGCTGAGAGGGGGTGAGTGGGGAGACGGGGGTAAGGAAGGGATCAGGATTTCTAGGTTGGTACAGCCAGGAATCCTGGGAGGAGAGACAAGGAAGGAAAAGCAGCATTCTCCTGGGTGTGAGCGCTGCCACTAACCAAAGAGCCTCAGTTGCAGATTGGACATCTCTATGCAGTGGCTGCTAGTGTGCTGTTGGTGCCCAGTCACAATGCACTGGGGAATACCCAATATTCCCGTATAGGGTGTGGTCTGAGGAGCTGCCAGGGCCCTGAGAACAAAGAAGAAAGACCTACCCATTCAAAGGAATCCCGGGAAGCCTGCTGTGCTAGGGCCAGGAATGCTGGTCTTCCCATATCATTCTGGGTCTGGTTTCATCAAGACTCTGTAGGGCACTTGGTCCCTAAGGCAACATGGAGGTTTGTTCCCCGAGCACCAACCCCTCACTCTCCTCTCTACCCTCACCCAGTTGTAGGCTAGGGGCCGATGCATCAGGAGCTGAAGGCCTGGGTTGCCTCTCTGGCCTACGTCAGGTAATGCAACGCAATGGAGAAAGAGTCTGAGCTTAGGAGTCACACTCACTGTGTTTGGATTTTTGACCCTGAGCAGCCCTTCTCAACACTGATCAAACGTGATCCAAACTGAACTCAAAGGGTTATTTTGGAAATGAAATGTCATTGTGTAAATCAAGCACCTTGTTCCTGACATATAGTAGGTGTTCAATTATCACTAGCGACTATACAAATATTTATTTTCAATGTCCAGTTTCACGAAGGTTCACTAAGTTGACCTTGTAAGTTTATCTAATTAAACTTAAATCTCATTTCCAAGGACAGTAGCAGAACTTTCTGCCACGTAGAAGCCAAGGCTGAGCCTGTTCCCGAGTCGGCCGTGAACTCTGCTGGGGGCCCCAGCACAGTCCTAAAATGGGCCGCTGCCTCCTTCCTGCAGGCAGCCTCAGTTAGTGCTGAGGTTCTATACTGAATTTTGTGATTCTTAAGCCAGGGAGCAATATCTCTTTCTGCGACTAAAAATGGAAACAACTGCTAATTCATACCCTTGAAAAAATTGGCTGCAAAGCCCGCTTTATTGATAGAGCCATCAGACACAAACTTCATCCACATTCTGTTAGAGCTCGATTTCACATCCTCTGGCTTCTCATAGCCACAAAGTTGGCCAATCAGGGTGCTCTCCTCTGTGAGGCCATCGCGGATTTCCAGGTAGTCATATGCACAGCTGTCATGCCTTTCGATCTAAATGGAGAAACAGAGGCAACATGGAAGACGACAAATGGCTTGGCCTTAAAGGTTTTGATTTAAGAAGGGAACCTCAATATCACTCTGAAAAATCTAACCAAGAGGCCAAAGGACCCAAGTGTGGCCAGCTTCTCCAAGCCACCTCCCTCCTACTTGCAGAAGTCAAGGGCAAATCAAGCTGCAGAGATACTAAAAGACGATAAATGGGGAAGAATGATTCTACAAAACTTCCCGGGATCCCATCCCAGATTTTCACTTCGATTATTCCCTCATCCTCTCTAGCAGCCTTGAGAAAGGTGGCAGATGCGATTTCAAAGTCTGCAAAGGTTTGGATACCAGACATCTGGGTATAACGCACCACGAGCTTGAAATGGCCTCTTAGCTTCTTGTTTTCAACCAAAATATGGAAACCCATCTTTCTAGATCAGAGAGTGTCTTGCAAAAGATGGCAGTTACTTCCTCCTTGGAAAGACCATCTGCAAAGCACTTACCTCAAAAGCCTGGAAGGTCAGCCCCACGTGAAAGCCCTCTGAAACTGTAATTCTCCAAACACATTCCTTGGAAGGTCTGTAGTCATCCGGGTAGTTGGGAGATTGAATCTGACCTGTGTCTTTGTTAATGTCTCCCCCACACGTAGCTTTAGAAAGAAAACCAGAGAACCAGCTTTAGGAAGAGAAAAGTGGGGGATCCCTGTCTCACGAAGGAAGCTGGCCACTTACCACCACTAGGTGACTCCACTTGCCAACACTTTCGTTTCCAACCAACCAACACTGGGCCTTCAGAAAGGCATAATTTCGTTTGTTTGCAACTCTGAGTTTTTTTCATATACAGAAAATAATCATGCAGAGCAGTGGTTCTCTACCTTTGCTGTGCATCAAAATCCCCTGGAAGATCTTTTGAGCTATGGAAGCTGGGGCCACATTCCCATACATTCTGACTGAAGTGGGCCTGGGATAGCTCGGAGCTCCAGTGATGTTTAGAAGTTCCCCCAGGTGATGCTCATGTAGAGGTAGAGAGAGAACCACGGGTACAAAGGGACGTGTGAGTATGCACACGCACACATGCGCACACGTTATTTCTTTTGTGGAAACAAAACTTTGGCCTCTCCAAAATTATAATCTAAGGCCAAAAGGGGCCTTAATAACTATATAGTTGTTTCCTTTGGAACGGGAGGCACAGAGGTAGCTGGACAGAGAAACCTATAGAACAAATAGAAGCAGAATTGCCCTGGTGGCAGCTGCCTAGAGCCCAGACCTGTTGGTTCCCTCAACTCAACCACCATGGTGACCTCAGAGGCCCTTCCAAGAAATGCATTTGAAAGTTCCCTGACAATGTCTAAAGACCGCTTTTCCCAAATAAAATAAACAGAGGCTCCGAGAGGTTAGATTCTTTGCTCAGGCTCACACAGCTATTCAGAGGCTGTGTACCCCCTGATACCACCCCTCACTGGACTGGAATGAGGGTTCGGCAAGGTGGTGACAGGTAGATGACGTCTGTCCCAAAGTGAGCACAGCTGGCCCCTCTGCTTCCGGAATGTGGAGGAAGAGGACAATGAGTTCCTCAGCCCAGCCCCTTAGGTGGCAGCTGCCACGCACGCCTGGGTGGGAGAGGGACAGCAGGCTGCATGTGAAGGACAGAGGCATATCAGGAGCTACCCAGGTAGCTTCCTCCACCACGAACAAACAAACCTTCATACACCGCGAAGAAACCCTTGCCCAGGATGTTGCTGCTGCTCCGAAACTCCACCCAGAGCCGGCTGTCCGTGGAGGTGACGGGCTCCGGGGCTTTATCGCCACAGAACCTACCTGGGAAGTGAAAAAGAACGGTCAGGCAGAGAGCCAGAGGGGGCTCAAGCAGGCGAAACGCAGCGTTCCTTCAAACGTGGTTCAGGGCAAGCAACAGACCCTGCTTCAGCAACTTCCCCTGCAGCATATACAGGATGAAAGGATGGACACAGTCACACGATCAAACGTGGTTCAGGGCAAGCAACAGACCCTGCTGCAGGATGGACACAGTCATGCACCTGCCTTCGGGAGAATTCCGGACTCCAGTTAATCGAAGTACCCGGAGTATAACCCAGGCGCCCTCTCTCCTGCCAGCGGGGTCTAGCTGAGGTGCTTCAGGTATGAAGTGATAATGGTCTGAGGTGGTGATGACTGTCTCGCGCCTTGGTGTTTCCTATTATACACATACCCTTCTCCTTTGGGGCATGCCTTTAGAAAGACATTACTCCTTCCTGGCCTCAGAAGAGGGATGCCAGAGATCACCTGATGAAGAAATCAGATCTTCTTGCCTTTCAAATGTCACAAGCCTAGTCAGAATACCAAAGATTTAGAAGAATACACAATGAATAAGAGCACATTTTCCTATCCTCGTAGTCTTAGATTCCTGGGATGGAGGAGTGAGGGGACTAGGGAGAGAGGGGTTGGAAGGGCACTTTGGGGCCTTCGAAAGGACCCTTTGCCTTGTCCCACCCTGAGCTGAGACCCTGGGTGGACAGGATGATAGAGACACTGACTAAGTTTAAGGATCTGGGAGAAGCAGATAACTGCGTCCCCACTCTCTGCAGAGCCTGGAGGGGCAACAAGACCCTCCTGGCCCACCTGGGGTCAGAACGAAAGTGTCCGCATGATTTGTTAAGACATGAGGCCAGGAGACAGGCATGCAGAGTTCTGCAGGCAAAGCATGGCGTGATGGCAGCAACATGGTTCCTGGCTCCTAGGAGGGGTATAGAAATGACTTTCCCATAGCCCAGAGGAATCGGGGAGCCATAGGATGTCTTCTAGGACTTGGCACCAATCTGAACTGGCCAAGGGTTGAGACGAGGAGGAGGCAGAGCAGCCACTTAGATGAACAGAGGACTGGAGACTAGACAGGAATGAGGACCTCCCAGCAACGCCATCAAGATGGCAATACGGAGGCCTCCCCCTGCTACCAAGTCCTGGCACAAAGTCTGCTCCCCACCAGCATCCCCACTCTGGGGTAAGAAAATACAAATTGACTGAAATTAAATTCCCACTACCTGATAGAAAGAAACTCATAATTGTTATTGAACTTTTGTTATTTAAAAATACAAATAATGTGTATTTCTTAGACACTTGGGCATAGGTCTGAAATTTGAATCCTCTACAGAGGAAAAGGGAGAAGACCTTGTCTTCCCAGTGCATGGTCATTCTTGGCCACATGACCCCTCATGGCACGTAAGAATGGTAGCCAGGGCAAGGACAGGGATGGGGCAGGTGGGAGATGGGCTGTGCTGTACCGCCTAGTTTTCCACACAGGCCCGTCAAGGCCTATTTGGACTGGAAGTCGTGGTTCTGACAAGTACCAACTGTGTGAGTGACTCAGAAAATCCACTTAACATTAAGGGGGACATGGGAGTGACTGTTAATGGGCATGGGTTTTCCTTTGGCGGTGATGAAGATGTTCTAACTTTGACTGTGGTGACTGACAGTTGTGCAAATCTGTGAGCATGCTTAAAACCACTGGCTCAAACACTTTCATCAGTGAGTTACACGGCATGTGAATTATATCTCAATATATTTTTTAAAGATCCATTTAACAGATATTTAGTGGATGCTGTTACTGTCAGCACCACGTTAAATACTGGATCAATCCCTTGAAGTTGTTAGCTCTGCTTTGCCTTTCTGAGAAATGGGGGAGTAATGCTGGGGGAGAAATAACTTCCTCATGGCCAACTGTGGCCTATATTCTTTGGGGGAGACACAGGAGTAGAGGCCGCTAATCTCCCTCTGCTTCCTTCCGATTCTGGCCACCTGCAGCCTTTCGGATTTGGTGAGCTTAACATTTAGTGAGATGAGCTGAAACGGCTGCCAAGAATTTGGCAAGGGAAAATCCATCAGAAGCCTATAAATTTTCAGTAATGTTCCTCTGGCATGGCCAATTAGTGTCAATTCGTTCTTGGAAAACAAAACATAAGCGTGGAGAAGTATTGCTTACCAATGAGGAGACAGAGACACTGAACCCACAGTTAGACAATGCCAATTTATAAGGAATTCCTTCTTAACCTAGCCCAAGGGTCAAGTCTAAATTCTCCTTTTAAATCTAGGCTATCACAGCCGCTGGGGACTGTTTCCAAAACAGAGAGGAACTGCCACCGTCTGACTGCCTAAGAAACCGACCGGACGTGACAAACCACCCACTCCACCCCAAGGCTACTGGACAACCCATCCTCGCTCAGTTCTCTGGAGGCGGTAGGAGTTACAGACTAAGATGTAGTTTATTGCCGTGGCAGAGCTAGACTTGGTAGAATAAATTAAAAATTATTTCTAAGTAATGTCTCTCCCCAAATCACCTTGTAATTCTTATCTAGAATCTTCTACATTATCCTTTGCCTGGTGTCTCAACATTCTCATTTTCACTGTCATAGTACTAATAAAAGCTTATTTTTATTAAGTATGTTTCTATCAGACACTGTCCTAAGCACTTCACATGGATTATCTAATTGCATCCCCACGACCCCCTGAATTAGGTGCTATCATTCATCTTACTTATGAAAAAATTGAAGACTGAAAAATTTGAGTTGAGTTACACTCCAAGTTGTAAGTAGAAGCAGGAACTGAACCTTAGCAGTCTGAGATCTTGACCTTTATCATCAATCTCACCTTCTTCATGACCATCACCACCACCAAAAGGAACTTCTCCATCTAATGTGCAATTCTGAACACTGTACGCTTTTCGATCAACAGACATCAAATCTACTCTCTGAGAATGTAAACATTCTCCCAGTTCGGAATCAGACACAGAGGAATGAAGATCAAAGCCTTAGCCATAAAGAAAGGCTGTGGTGATGCCAGGCTTGGCTCTTTGACTCACGCTATCATTTCTGCTCATTTGGGAGGCTGTCCCTGCCCAGGGGACCCCAGTAGAGGGGCCACGCGACACTGATTGGCCAGCCTAGCCTTTCTGAACTTCCCTCCCCATTTCAGGGAAAGGGGGAGAAAGGGCTTTTGTGTGCATTGTGGTGGTAGAGAATACTCAAGGACAGTTCTGCATACAAAAGTGCATTGTTAGAGTCATTCCTTTAGCAGAAATAAGGGAGGGGAATCCAATTAACAGGACAGTATTTCAGATCACTGGATGAGTTCTCCGTGCAGCCACCTTCTTCCCTCCGGTTAGGTACAATCTCATAAACGACCCCTGAAACTGAAAAACCAATTTGATATCTTTAACCAGCCGTGAAATGTTCTCAATCTACTTGCATTTCCCTTTAATCGCTATGTGAAAACCTGGGTCCCAAACAGCCTCCTTCCAAGAAGACTAACAGGCTGGAGAGAAATTGGACATGAGAAAAGGTATCAAATTCCTAAAGCGAAATCTGGTTCCTGGCTTTGGAGGAGGAGTTTAATAAGGATATCAAGAAGAGGAAATGCAGATGAGGGCACGACAAGTGGGCTCCATGGGGAGTCATAAAGGGTTCATTCATAAAAAGTTATGTGCCCATTATGCCTGGATTTTCACACACTGCCCTGGGAAAATATGCAATGCACAGTTTTTCAGAGCAAGATGCATACTTTCACAATCCGCCCTAATCCTCTCTCCCTCCTGCCAAAGGGGCATTGACCTGCCCCCTCCCGGCAGATTTCATGGCACTGACCCCTCCCAGGGACCAGCTCGGCCCACACAATGCACTCGTTCCAAACACAAAAGTGCACTAACAACTGCATTTGGAAACATCAGAGCGGGCCAAATAGTTGGCAAAGGAGAATTCCTGCGAATGGGGAAGAACGGTTGCAGGCACCGGGCCATGCCTTGGCTGCGGCACACACACACACACACACACACACACACACTGCAAAAGTGTGTAAAATATAAGCCAAAAAACCCCCAAACAAAACAAACCATCACCGACAACAACGAACCACAAAAGCCCCATCTAATCCACGAGAGTGCCGCCAGAGATGCCAGGATCTGTAGTGAGAAAATTCTTGTTTCTAGAAAAGGGAGCGACTGGAAATCCCTCTGCCTGTGCCCATTCTCAGGAGCGTGCCTTGGCCCTCTCTGGGGAACTTCAGTAGCACAGAGCTTCCTCCTCCTGAGCCCTCTAAGTCTATCATGTTCCCCGGGGGGAGTATAGGGTTGCCAGATTCAGCAAACAAAAATACAGGAAGCCCAGGTCAATCTGAATTTCGGATAAACAAGGAATCATGCATCCTATCTAGCAATGCTAGGGGGAGATCCTTCTCAGATTGAGCAGTCGCCTCTCCCTAACACCAGGACAGCTCAATTCTGGTCTGATCTCAGCCACTAGCAGGCTGTGTGGCCTTCTTGGGGAGCATGGTTTTCTCAAGAGGGTTTGGGATAAGTGACGCTAAAGCCCCTGCCAGGCTGAGGGGTCTGTGATTCCATGTTCTCATGAAACTCCTCCCACATAGCTCCTTTTACAGTTTTAATTATAAAATAATATAATATCTGAATAATCCCTGAATGCATTCTTGTAAAAGATTTTAAAAATCCAGACATATGCAGAGCAAACCACGAAGCTGCCCACCAGCTCCGTGCTTCCTTTTTCCGAGGTAACCGCTTTCCATCGCTGGATGAGCACCCTCGTAGTCCCCTTTCTGTGTACTTGGCACTAGACAAATTCACATACATGTCTACAGGCAGGCAGGATCGTTCCCTGACCCAGCTCGTAGGGACTTCCATTCAGTAGTCTCCCAGGAATCTGTACTCTTGGAAATCTTCCCGACTGATGCTGTGTTCACCCAGGTTTGGGAATCTCTGCTGCCAGGAATGAAACCCTCTGCCTTTCTGCCACATCTGGTCAGTGCTGCCTTTAAAGCCATGCCCCCTTCTGGCAGCTGCCATACACCATGTCTGCTCATAATAGACAGGAAGCAGAAATCCAGGGCAGGCAGCCTCCACCCTGCCATAACCCACTTGCCCTGCAGTGTACACACTCCTGTGTGTGCTCAGCCCGGGGGTCACTTTCTTGGCTTGCTTATCTGGACCGCTAATTACCTGATTCCTCCTTGTGGTGGTAACCTAGTGCTCCCACTCAGCACCCACTCAGCACCCATGGACATGGATTTCTATGTTTGTACCTCTAGGACTTTAAATCCATGGCCCTCTGGACAGAGGGAGCTTGTGTGCTATCCCCGATGGTAACTGAGCTGGCTGAGACCCCTTGGCTGTACAAAGGCTAATATCTGCCAGGCCCTCATGGGTCCAGTTAGAGCCTCTGTCCCAGTCCCTTCCGACCTACCCTGGAATCTGATATGAAGTGGGCTTGGCCCGGCCGTGAAACGCCCCAGCTTAGCTCTCTCCTTTCTTTCCTGCCTCCATGTTCAGTCAGCTGTCCCAAAGCAGCTCACTCTCAAGCCAGTCATTTGCAGCATAACCAAGTGGCTTTTCTGCCCATGCCAAGGACCAAGTTCTCGCTGAGAGCTTAGACTTACAGACTGGAAGCCCACCCTACAGACCCCTCTAAAAATGAGGACGGCCCACTCTCAGCTAAGACCCTCCCCTGTGGCTCCTGGTAAATCCGCTTCTCTGTTTCCACTGCGGTTGTCATTCGTGGGCCAAATGAGTCCTCATGTCCACTCTCTGGTCATTGAAGCCACTGGTCCTCAAGGCAACATTAATCTTTCCTGGTCACCCACGAGAGAGCTCTCTTCTGGTGACCGATCCTGAGTGAATTGACCCTTCTCTTAACGCCACCTGCCTACTGCCTCTCACTCAAAGGTCCACGCAGCCTTTTTGTGTAGGACTTCATGCACTGTTCATCTCCCCAAATTAACACATGCTCATCGCAGGAAAATTCGAAAACATAACTAAACCAGGAACAACAAAAGAACAAAATTTTAAAAGTACTCCATCATCCTGAAATAACCACTGTGTGCAATTTATTGGTATTTAATGTTGGAGATCACAAAATGATTTCTTCCAGGTGAATTTAGCCCACACAATGAAGTGGGTAATTTCGTTCTGAGTAACTTTGGTCGAGCTACGCACTGTTGAGTTTGCTACACTCCCCACCACTCCTTGTTTTGTCATGCCAACCCCACCTCACTCATTTACACCCTATTTCTGAAGGCATCTGAGTCTGCAGTGCCTGCATAATAGATATACAAGTGTATTTTTGTTAAAATGAAACCCTACTGCATATGCTATTTTGTCACACCATTTTTCTGTAACAACGTACAGGGCATACCCTTCTGAATCAATAAGTAGCCACCTCCAACTTGATTTTGAATGGCAGGATCATTTTCCATTGAAAAGATGTATCATAATTTATTCAGCTAACCCCTACTGTTGAACATGTAAATTGTTTTCAATTTTTCCTGCTTCAGTGAACATCCCTGTAGCTAGAGCTTTGCACACTTCCTTAATTAGTTCTCTACGATAAATTCCAAGAAGTGGAATTGCTGGGTCAAAGGGTATTCGCAGTTTTAAAAGCTTTTAACATGTGTGGCCAAATGGAGTGTTCAGAGTTTTACAATGACACAGACCCTTGAGAGCTTCCTGTGACTGCCGTCTGGATGGACCCTTCCAAACATTAATAGCATCACATGGAACATCCGATCACCCTTCTCTCAGGGCCTTCTGAAGGCAACTCACCCAACAGGGGCGCTTTTCTCCAGTAACCATCCCGGACCTCCACGTAGTCGTACCAGCACAGGCGGCTTTTAAACAAATCCATGGATGTGAAGTTTAAGATGATCTGTAAAGAGATAGCATAAAGTGAGTTTCGGCGACAAAGCCTGGGGAGCTTTCAAAGACACAACTTGCACAGCAGTGTTCTCACGTTACTGTTAGCACACGGGGCTCTCAGACCACAGTAGGAGTGGCCTCCCAAAAAACGTACTCACAGGAAACCTCATGACATTAAATAATAAACCTTAAGCAGGATGGGGAGTAAACAAGAAGAGATGGTCCTTTGGTTCTGTCTGGGGAATAGCTTGAGCTTTTGAAGTCACTGAGTGGTTTACAGAAAGCAAGATGCATTAAAGAGGGGCCAGGATGCTTTGAGCCTGGGGATTTGGAAGGAGGTAAGGGGTCAATGAAGTTCAGAGATACGCAAAGATCTGATAACATCATCAATCATTCGAAAGGGCCTGGGGTTAGCCTGAGTGCATCTGAGCACCTCCGTGATCAATGTCCCCTCGGCCATGACCTCACTCTTCTGAGACACGGTGTGTCTAATAGCCTTCCTACAGTTCATTCATTCATTCATTCACTCATTTATTCGACCATTGTGTGTTGAACACCTACTGTGTGCCAGTATGTGTTAGCCAACTGAGAGGGAAAGATCACAATGAAGGGTTCTTGCCTTTAGGGAGCTCAGAGAAAGGGGGAAGGGCAAATGAGTCAAGTGCTATGGAACAAATGCTGAAAAGAGAGGAATGGACAGAAAGGGTGTTTGGGAGCCCCAAGAACAGAGAACTGAATCCTTCTTGGTGATACTGGAGGAGGCTTCTCAGGGGAGGTCTGGCAGGAGGAGAAGCGGGGTGAGACAGCATTCTGGTGAGAGGGACTGACATGAGCAAAGGCAAGGACATGTTTAGGGGGCCGTGCTGTAGCACAGCCTTGGTCGCTGTGTTTGTTTGGAATGAGGAGGCGGAGGGGGCGAGGATGAGTGAAGGATGGGGAGCTGGGGGGTTCAGATGGACTGGGAAGGAAGGTTTCAGTTTTTCTGGACATCCTGAGGTCATTCGGTGGATGGCCCTCCCCACACACAGTCGGGGGAGCTGGGTGGCCCTGCAGAGTCGACAAACAGGCACTGTACCCATGAACTGGCCCCTAATTCCCACTGCAACCCTTCCAGCTTGGGGCTCCTGGGGCAGACAGCCCAGAGTTCAGGTTTTCCCTTCCCCTTCACCCCCATTCCATCCCCACCAGGCAAAGTGCCCTTTTCCTGCACTGAACAGCAGCAGCTTGTCTAGCCCCAGCTCTCGAGATGGCTCTCTGCTGTGTGCACCATGTCCCTGCTCCATCATCTCTCAGGTCCTGCTCT